TGAACCGACGAATGACCTCCGACAACAACGGGCCCTCTCCGCCGCCCTCCCTGGTTTTCGGTGTCGAAATCACCGGTGCGCCGGAATAACGCCTTTACGGCTCCGTGCTTCTGACTTTTACGACCCGCCGTTAAATGATTCTCCTCTCCTGCCCACCTGAGCTTTCAAGCTCGTTCCGATGCGCGAAAAAAGGATAAGATACCGAAGACGCCGGGGAGGAGTCGCCGCGACGTGTCGCTGGAATGCAGCAGTTTGTTTTATCGCGCGCGTCCGCCTTTGTTCTTGTTTTATTGTTCCTCAAGCCCCTGTCTCTTTCAGGTAACAGCGCGTCGAGCCGCGATGATTCAGGTGACTTCGCCCCGAGTTTCCCGGGAAACGGTCCAGCGTCCGTAACCCGCTTAGCCACACTCGACGACTCGGAGATGACCTTTCGGAACGGACGCAGGGGACCAAGGGATGAAACGGAGAAACTGGTCCAGCGTCTTCGGAGAAGCGGCCAGAGACGCAACACCGCGTCCGAAAGATTCGATTGCGAACGAATTGGACGTCAGAAGTCGCTGCGCGAAGCTGTTGGGCCATTTGCATCGATCGCGGAGCGTCGCCGTAACAGAATGACAGAATAATGCTCGCGATCATCGTACCGAGCTTTCATTTGCATCCTCGATGCATCTCCATCTACGTGCTCGGTATAATTCGCGCCACTCGATTTTGATAATCAATAAAACGATCGACGAGCAGCGTGCTCGCGCGATTCGATCGAGGACTCTGGCATTCCCGAGGCGCTTTTAACACGTTAAGCGCCATGTCAGCCACTGGTGCCTAGCTGTGAAATGTTTAATAAAGCAACTAAGTTGATAATAGTGTAACGCGAACGTTGCAACGCCAAACAGTTCATAAGTATTCCTACTTTCCTCTGCTACAAAAGACAAACTCTATGGGGGAACGCTTAAGATCTTCGTGGCGCTTAACGTGTTAATTGTCCCGGTGGTTCCAGGTTCCTCGGAACGGCCGTGCAAACGGCCCCATCCCCGTTATCTTCCAATTACGCGGTCTAAGCGTGGCTCGAGTCATTCGCGCGGCTTCGTAAGCGATCGCGGCCCGCTATCCCCGGTCCCACGACACACGGGAGCTCTGCCGTTAGATGAACAGCCGATGGAAGAGAAAATAGGGATGATCCGCGGCGACCCAGTGGAAAAGGAGGATTTTCAGGGACACCGAGCCGGACCGGGGAGAGCACGCGGAAGAAAGGACTAGAGGAAGGGGGAGAAGGTTCAGAGGGGGATGAGGTAGGG